AGATCTTTAAGAACAAACCCAACTGCACCAAAGCAGTCGCCCCAAAACATATTAAATTTTTAAGCTATGTCAATAACTTAGTGGCTATTTACTTGTTAAAAGAGGCCCATGGCTGGATGAACATTATTTAAACTAATGTATGCTCCAACATGAGCACGACTGTCTGCTCCAACATGAGTCAGACAATCGGCTACGTCCATCCGGGCGAATTCGTCGAGGAGAAGCATCTCCCATTTGAGTGGCACATTGCTCTACTAATACAACAAGCGGCCCTACCAAATGAGCTAAGGCAGCGTTCGCAGTCGTTTAATTTAATCTAACTTGAAATCTAAAAAGCGTTGAGTTTTCCGACTATTCTACCACATGCGAAAAATGGCTACTATTTCATATTAGAGGCTACCTTACCGCATGCTCTTGCTCTGGAGCAAGGCAAGCGGATAATTCTTTTTTCAATGAACAAGCTAAGTAAAAACTTAGCGGCTTAACTATCTGTCATGAGGTCTTTGGCCGGATGCATTGAGTTACTAAAAATCGCCTGTTCGGTATGGCTGTTTGTCGCTTGGTTTGGGGCAATCACCATAGTGATTGATTAACTTAAAATCCATGCATAATCATTATAGTATCAATAATTTCAAAGTCAATGAATCCACTCAACCAAACCAACCGACATCCGGCCAGGGGCAAGAACATTCGCATATTATACAAGGTAAAACAACTTAGCCAAAAATTCTATGCCTAAAAAATTTAAAGCTTTAAAAATTTTAAATCACAAGTATCAAGATGAATAAAACCGGTTAAACAACCGGATGCTTCATAAAAAACAAACAGCCGTGAAAATTGACGATTGCAGAATTTAGCTGGCAACATTGTTATTAAAATCACGATTTAAATCTTAGAATCTTACGATTTTACGATTCATGTATATAATACGATTTGATTTACGATTATATTCGATTTTACATATTAATCTGAACTAGCGAAATCCTTACAAGTAAAATACATGTTAATATAGGTTTTTATAAATATATATTGTCAAGTATTGATTAGTTAATGGTTAAATAACTATTATATATCAATAATTGGGTTCCAAACTCATAATTTCAATATATTTATATAAATTTATATTTGACTTCTTGATTATTCATGTCGGTAGAATCTTTACAATTCTATGATTCGATTTTACAATTTGATTCTGATAGCCCCTTGCGATTCAAAGTAAAATCTTGGATTTAATAACTTTGGCTGGAAAAGCCATATTGTTGAATTACCCGACCCCTTGTTTGGTAAAGATACACAAATACTCGGTACACAGGCCGGAAAAGCAAATACTTGACCATTCAGCTGCAGAAAAAGACAAAAAGCTTAAAAAAGATCAAGGGAGTTTCTCATCATTGGAATTCTTCTTGTCCTCCGGCGCCTGCTTCTTTGACTCTTTATCCTCCCCCTGATCATCCTCCTCGTCCTCAGAAGATGATTCATCTGATGAGTTGGACTCCTCCTTGGCTTCTTTGGCAGCCGCTTCCTTTGCAGCCGCCTCCCCAGCTTCCCTCAGGAGTCGGGCATTGAATCCGTCATTTGCCTTATCAAATTAAATCTTCCAAGTTTGATAATCGGCTGAAGGATAGACAGCTGCCCAGGTCGTATGCATGATGGATTAATTATCATCCATCGTTTGTTTGATCAGGGTCTGTTTTTCCTCCTCCATCAGAGACCTATACTTGGTCCTGAGTTGGGTTTCTTGGTTCCGCAGTCGCCCTCTGAGTCTCTTAACTGTCTCTCCAAGGTTATCTGCCTTTGTTTGCACCTCTTGGAGGGGATCCAGCTTCTCCTTGAGTTCCTTGACCTCATCTTGGAGTTCCTTGACTTGTCGCCTCGTTGCGTCTAAGTTCTGCTGGACTTGCAGATTTGCCGATGCTTGGGAATACAACTTATCAAGTGTCAGAAGCTCATTTTGAACAATCTCAAACTAAGCTTTGTCTAAAGAAGAGGCGGCCCAATGTAAGGAAGGTGATCCCCATCGTAGGGGGGTCCTTCCTTAGATTCCCATGGCCGCTTAAAAGCCTAGGACTTTACACTTGTTAGGGTGTATTAGGATTGGAATTTCTGACTGTTTGGGAGACCTTGAATTATAAATGATACCTTCATCACGCTTTTTTGTAAGAAACAAGTAGGAGTCGCCAATGAGTTTTAGGAAAACTCATAAACCTCGGTCATGCCTTTCTTTCATGTGGAGTTCATGGAATAATTAGCACGAATAGTATGTTTACCCTTTCCCAAATTGGTCTACATAAACCAGAAATGAGTTCGGGAGCAAGGGTACTAAAATAACGTTCCTTTTAGGGAGGAATCCCTATTATAGCCCTAGCATGGCCTCTACTAGCTCTTCCTTTTTTGCAATTTCATTACCAAACAATATATGCAACGCGATACCTAAAACTAAGTTAATTGATTTTTTTTACACACGTTAATTCACATAGGAATTACATTGCAACATCGTTATTCTTTATTTAACCAAATTCGTGAAAAGAACAAGAAAATAAAAAATATTCGCCTTGGATTAAGTGATCAACCAACAATTAATTATCCAATTCTAATCTATATTTAACGCAAGATACTATGTGAAAATAATTAATTAGTTCTTTAAATAAGATTAAACAACACTAATTAGTTAAGGTTCCTTTAATTAAGAAAATAGATGTGATTTATCTAAGTGCTCGGGAATTTACCACTTCTCTTTGCTAGATCTCTGTTTAGAAAACTTATGGACATCTTCTTGTTGGGGAACATCTACCGTAGTAACAAAAGATCAAGGGGTGAGTGTTTAGGACAAGAGGGTTTAGGTAGCACAAGTTCACAAGTATTTCGCAAGTGTTTTAGGTTATTTTTCTGTGTGTTTAAGCCTCGGATTAAGCCACTATTTATAGGGAATAATTAGGTTTAGGGTTTTGATAATTCTGCCGCAGCAGGTGTCGCGCGCATCTGGATGAGTTGAGTGCAGCATCCCAGCGCAAGTGATTTAGTTGCGCTGCTATGGGCAGCGCAACTGATGTTCTTGCGCGCAGCTTTATGGTAAGATTCAATTCTTTTTTTTTATAAAATTCTGAATCCTCCGCGAGTGCATATCTGAGAGTTGCGCTGAGTATCGCGCGCAATGAATGAGTTACGTGTGCCTGCCAAACGCTAGTGATTGACGTGGGCGCGGATTTTCCTGCGGCAGCACTGAAATTTAACCTAGGCGCTCCTAAATCCGTCATTATAAGGTTTTAAGCACGAGCTTAAGCCTAATATTGATCGGATTTAGTTATTTAGACCTCGTTTAAGCTTTGTTTATTTAGTTTAGGTTAGTTTTTTTTTGTTTTGTGGATTAACTAGTTATCCATATGCATTCTCCACTTCGATCCAACACAAAGATGGTTTTATTTATCGACATTGCACTTCCTTTCGAGACGGGAGGCCAAAAGTAGATATCTGCAGTTAGCCCCCACTTTGATTGAATCTAGAATAGACGATGATCAAAGTAGTCAAGGAAATAAATCCGAGTCTCATTCTGCGAAGTTCTCAAAGAATAGAGAATCTTTCAGAAATGTTTAGCGACGTTGAAACGATCCTTGGTTCGCTAAATGTTTGAAACAAGTAGTTGTTAAGGCTGGAAAAGTTTTTTCCCTAGTTTTAACACGCTAAAGAATCTAGATTCTGGGTGATGTCAAGTCATGATAAGAGATAGGTTTTAAAAGAATAAAAATGGATGATTTACTCTCAATCATGTCATTGTTGGTCTAAAGTCCCTCGATTTGTCATTGAAACTTTAGCCTGAATTTAACAAAGTAAAAGGATGAAAAAGGGGTTTTCGGTATTCGAGCTGAAACGGTCCGGTATTCGAGCCGGGTACGGTATTCGAGCCGGATGTTCACAAGATAGAAATGCATGTCTTAGGACTGGAGGCATATATCCAAATCTAGTGAGAGGGAAGAAAGTTAGCGAATCTCTTAGCAGTTTTGTCCACAAGTTGAGTACACGTGTCTCACGATTGGGGGCACGTGACTAGGGGTGTACAAAAACTGGACCGGACCTTAAACCGGACCTGAACCGACCTGATCCGGACCGGACCTGACCCGGACCTGTTGATTCAGGTCCGGTCCCGGTCCTTAAAAATCAAGGTTCCCGGTTCCGGTCCGGACCCGGTCTAAACCCGGGGTTTTCAGGTCCAGACCTGAAACCCGGAAAAATTGTTTTTTTTTTAAAAAAAAAAAAAAAAAAAAAAAAAAAAAAATTAAAATAATGCTGCTGCAGTGCTGCTTGCTTGACAGCTTGAGGCCTTGAGTGACGCTTGAACTTTCATTTCATTCTAACCCTAACAAACACGCTCTCTCCCCTTCTCCCTCACGCAGACACGCAGTCACGCTCACGCAAGTCTCAGCCGAGTCAGCCCAACGCGGCAACGCCCACCGCCGACACCTCCTGCCTTCCTCACTCTCTCTCAGGCGAAGCCCAGGCGCCCACCGACCACCGCATGAGACAGCTACTGCGCGATTTTCCATTTCTCCGGTAAGTTATTTTTTTTTTTAATGTAAATCTAAATTATCTAATTATGTTTGGGTATTTTGTATTCGAAATAATGAATTAAGTGTTAAAATTTATATGTTTATTCATGTTTCAATTGCTTATAATGATTATTTGATGTTTGCATGTTGAATTTCTTTTTTTTACTTCAATGTTTTCGAATTTATGTTTTTTCTTTTTTGGTTTATTTTCGAATTTCTTTCGAATTTATGTTTTTTTTTTTGGTTTTTTTTAGTTTAAAGTTTAGGTTTTAGGGTTTAATGTTTATCTTCGAATTTATTTATTTTTATGTTTTGGTAATGGGATTGTAGCAGAGGACAATTAGTTTTTCATCATGATTGCATTGTTTATTTTTGTCAAGTACCTGAATTTCTTAGACTCCTTTTGGTTGGACTTTGAAATTAGAGAAAATGCAATTATTTTGATTTCAAAATTAGAAATTGAGAGAAAGGTAGAAATTAGCTTGGTTGATATATGATAAGTTGGAATGTGCCTCTGAAATTGACATAAACTTCAGCAAGTAACGTGTAACACAAAAGAGAAAAATAAAAAGGAAGAGAACAAACAATGAGATTATGAGAGCAATGAAATTTTCTGACTGGAACTGCTGGATAGAGTCTGAGAGTTTCTGTCAATGCAGCATGTAAATACTGCATTCTTTCAAGTGATTCTTCTGTCAAACTAGCAGCAAGTTCTGAAAATTTTCCAACTCCTTCCATTTTCGTAATTTTCCTTACTTCTTCAGCAACCTTTTCCTGTATATTCTGGTGTTTACAAAGCATGTAAACAAACCATGAAAGTGTAACTGTTGTTGTGTCTTTACCCGCAATTACAAAGCTCAAGATTATATCTCTCAGATACTTCAAATCAGTGTCGCTCTGCTCCAGGAACCTTGACAAGATATCATCCTTTTTCATCTGCATTTCCTACAAATTCACACAGAAAGAATGCATTAATCTCCTCAGTAAACCGATATGATTACAGACTTCTAAGTTATGATTCACTTACTGAGACATTGCTTTGTGAACTTTTCATTAGTTCCACTTTGTTACTGATTAATTTGTAAACAAAATCATCAACAGTTTTGACACTTCTCTTAAGTTTAGCCTCTGCGCCAATGTTGAGAAATTTCTTGATAGGCCAAAAGATGTCTACATATCGTAACATGGTTGAAGCACTAGCATCATCAAAAGCCTGGCCAAATTTCTTCCCTTCTTCATTTGAGCCACACATACTGTCTAGATCAACTCCAAATGCAACTTTGAAAATAGAATCTAACGTTGACTTCATAAACAAGTCCTATAGAAAGCCATTTCAAGTTGGTTGTGTTGGTTGTGTTGTGTTGTGTGGGCAATGCCTCTCTCATTTTTTTCTTAACATAAATTTCAGAAAGTTGAAAGTATTTCTAATGTGTATTGATATTTCTAATGTGTATATATGGACACTTTTTAAGCTAACTTATACTTTAAAATTTGTGTTTATTCCTGCTAGGCTGCTAAAAGTATGGACTCAGATTATTAAGATTAAATAAGTTGGCTAACCTGTGTGTAGTTCAGGGGTTCTTATTTTTGTTTTTATTCTTGCAGGGAGTGAAGGAAGTCAAGGAACCACGGATTCTTATTCTTGCAATGTAAGTTGCTCTTAAATTTTTTTTATAAAATGGTATGTGTATATAATTGTTACTTTAAAATTACTTATATTGTATATAATTATATTGTAGATGGAGAGCTCTCAATCCAAACGGTCTGCTTCTTTTTCTGAACAAACGTCACAGCCACTTTCTGAAAAGGATATGGAAGAATTGCAATCTACTTTGCCTCCTGATAAGAAGCTAAAAGCGGGGCGGGAATATATATGGAACAGAAAAAGTAAGAGGAAAGCTGAGTATTGGAAATATTACTTAGAGTACGTCGAGAATGGAAAACTACGAGCTGAATGTAAGTTCTGTCCTAAAACTTTTGCTGCTGATGGTAATCTTAATGGTTCAAAAAATGTTAAAAACCATGCAGAATCATGTCTCGGTAATCCTATTAATATAGAAAAAGAAAAGGGCAAAGAAAAGCAAACTAAATTGTATTTTGATCAAGAACATGAGAGTAGTGAATTAAAGTGTGGGAGTAGGATTATTAACTTGAATGATGTTAGAGAGGCATTGATTCACATGATTATTGTTGATGAGTTACCATTTAAGCATGTGGAAAAATCCGGTTTTAGGCACTTTGTGCAAGTTGCATGTCCACAATTTCACATTCCATCTCGTGTTACCATTGCTCGTGATTGTTTAAAGTTGTATTATAGTGAAAAAGAGAAATTGAGAGAAATGTTTAAGACATGTCAAAGAATTTCTGTGACCACTGATACTTGGACTTCAATACAAAGAATTAATTATATGTGTCTTACAGCTCATTTCATTGATAATGACTGGAAATTGAATAAAAAGATCATAAATTTTTGTCCAATTTCTAGTCATAAAGGAGAGGCTATTGGAAAAGCAGTTGAGGCATGTTTAGAGTATTGGGGTATTGATGATAAACTTTTTACTGTCACTGTTGATAATGCTTCTTCAAATGATGTTGCTTGTGCACACTTGAGTAGAATGGTTAGAAGAACAAGATGTATAAATGATGGAAAAAATCTCCATGTTAGATGCATTGCTCATATCATTAATTTAATTGTGTGGGATGGTATTAGAGAACATGGTGTGTGCATTGATAGAGTTAGAAATGCTGTGAAATATGTTAAGAATTCCCCTGCAAGAATACTTAGATTCAAAGATCTTGTGCAAAAAGCAAACATAGATTCAAAATCTTCTTTATCCTTTGATGTCCCCACTCGTTGGAACTCCACATACATAATGTTGGAAACGGCTTTGAAGTTTCGACGTGTTTTTAGTGGGTTATCTCTTCCTGATGGAGAGGATTTGAATGACAATGAAAGGCCTCCCGAACCCGAAGATTGGGAAAAAGTGGAGAGGTTGGTTTTGTTTCTAGGGGGGTTTTATCTGTTAACTAAACGAATTTCTGGTTCCCATTATGTGACAGCTAATAAAGGTTTAGGAGAAATTGCTTCTATGTATGATATGTTGAATAATTGGGAACAAAGTGAGGACTTGAATTTTCAAGCCATGGCCATTGCAATGAAAAAAAAGTTTGATAAGTATTGGGGGGATGTGGATAAGATGAATAAGTTCATTTATGTTGCTCTTCTTCTCGACCCTCACTCTAAGATGGTCATTGTTGAATTGACACTAACGGATATGCATGGACCGGAAAAGGGTACAAAACTTGCTAATGATGTGAAGGAGTTCGCTTACTCTTTATTTGAGGAATATAGAAAAATGTATGCTACTTCTAATATTCCAGATTGTGGAGATAATATGTCAATGGATATTGATAATAGTAAAGGAGTGGGTTCCGATTATGTGAGGAAACTAAAAGAAAGAGCAAAACGATTGAAGGGGACAAGTGGGTATGCGATAAGTGAGTTGGATAGGTACTTAAATGATCAATTAGGGCCGGAGGAGGAAGAACAAGATGCATTGACATGGTGGGGTAAGAATGGTCAGCGTTATGTGATTCTTAATCGCATGGCACGTGACATACTAGCCATCCCATTGTCGACCGTTGCATCGGAATCTGCTTTTAGTACGGGAGGTCGTACTCTAGATCCATTTCGGAGTTCTTTAACTCCTAAGGTAATGCATCGTTATCTTTTTATTTTATAAAATCAAGTTTGTTTATATCTTAATATGACTTTGTTTATACATATTTGTGTAATATTTTTGTATTGAAGATGGTTCAAGCGTTACTTTGCACACAAGATTGGCTTAGAGCTAAGGAAGTGCCAATTGTTGATGTGGAAGAAAATTTGAAAGAGTTAGAGGAAATAGAGAAAGGTAGTAATAATTTTATGTATTTGAAATTTTGTTACACCAAATTTATTATTTCATTGTTATCAATCATTAATATATTCTATATTGTATTTTATTTAGAGGTGCAACGTGGTGAATCTAACGATGTAGACGATGAAGTTGTTTTCGTGGACTCATTAGTGTGAATCACGCGATCAAAGGGAAAACAACTCGTTGGAGAATTTATGTATTCCTAGTACTTGAGAGTTGAGAGTTGAGACTTGAGAGAATTTATGTAATTTTATGAGTTTTCGTGGACTTATTTGTATTTTCGGTGGACTCATTTGTATTTTTGGTGTTTGAGAATCGGGACTTTATGTAGTTTTGTAATTGATAATTTTGGTTTGTATGTAATTATTAAATTATGCAACAGGTCTAAAAATCACAAAACAGGTCCATATGCAGGTCCATATGCAGGTCCAACAGGTTTTGTATTAAAAAAAAAAAAAAAACGAAAAAGACACAAAACAGGTCCATTCAGGTCCAAACCCGGACCGGACCTGATTTTTCAGGTCTGGCCCGGAACCGGACCTGTTAATTCAGGTCCGGTCCCCGGTCCTCATAATTACCCAATTCAGGTCCCCGGTCCAAACAGGTCCGGTCCAGGTCCGGTCCGGTTTTGGACCGGTGTACACCCCTACACGTGACTACATAGGCGCGACATCGTCTTGTCGCTTCTTTATACAGGGGGTGGACGGACACCCTAAATGTCCTCTAAGCTAGTAAGCACACTAATTAACGTATTTGCTTCAAATCAAGAAGTGTCTTTTCCTGATGGTTCGGCGCGCCTGTTGACTCGTGAGCTAACGCCTAAAGTAATCCTCCACCTTTTAGTTTCGAGAGGTGAATCTCGCAATATCTTGGGCTGAAGTGAAATTTTACGCAACACCTACGCCGTACAATTTTGCGCCGTACGATACGCCTTTTGCATTTTTACGCTATATGAAAACACCTTCCTTTTTGCTTCGGATGTGAAAAAAGAAGAAAAGCCGGACATTTGTAATGTCAGTACAGTAAAATGACAAACCTATCTATGAGTGCTTTTACGTAAAGCACCACCACAGAACGTCTTAAGAACTCTTACGAAAAACATTCAAAACGTATGCTTAGGGAAGGCACAAAGCACGGTGTGCATGCAAGAATGATGTAAAAAAAACTAATAAAGAAGAAAACAAACTACAATATACAAAGAAATTTAAAAATATTTTGATAATTTACGCGCCATTACGTCTAATAACGAGCAAAAATGGTTGAAAAATGATAAAACGGATCAAAATCAAGATTCCAGTCATTTTAGTGACCAGTATCCGCGAGCAACTCAGTGGGTCGCGCTGGCTAGGCGCGCGCATCTTTTTGAGTTGCATTGGTATGTCACACGCAATAGATTCAGTTGCACGCGACATTTATGTCAGTAAAATGTAATCACTAAGCGCGATTTTCATTTCGCTCTTTCTTTCTCCTTCCTTCGCCATTTTCACCCCTTTCTCTCTCTAGGAAGCTCAAATTTTCTTGTTTTTTGAAGCTAAAGGAAGTAGATCTCGTCCCTGATTCGTGTTTTCCATCATTCATTTTAAGTTTTTTGTTATTTTTCGTTCGATTTAGGCTTAATTGGGACAATTTTCGAACCATTGAACCCTATATTTCGAATTTGGGGATTTTCAATTCGATCCATTTTTCTTGAAATTTTTTGTTCCATGTTGTTATACTATGTTTAAGGAGTGTTTTGCAACAAATTCCATGAAAAATGGTTATGTATTAAACCTTATATGAGCATTTCTTTATTCAAGTTCGTTCTTGCTCTTTTTCTTCGAATTTTTCTTGATTTTATTGCTTTTTCTTGCTCATTTTGGTTATAATTGCTGATTATGAAGTAGATTATACTAATGGAACCAATATTACTTTCATAATTCATTTTTATGAATTTTGAATTGTTGGAAAATGGCGCGAAACATACTCCTAGCTTATTTTTGCCATGTTTAAACCTCAAAATGGTAAGGTAGACGATAATCATTTGTATATTACTGTTTTTTTTTAGGAGTAGTTGATTCTTTGAGATTTTGAAAAAAAATTCTTGAATGCTTAGTTGAAACTGGTATAGGATAGCTTTTGTGGGTCTTAGAAACCCCCATTTACTAAGTCTAACTGCAGGTATCGTAGCTCCCAAGTATGGATGGCATTCGATGTTTGTGTTTTTCCCTATCGACATCCGTTATTCTGCCGAATTGGGTCAAGAATACGTGTATTAGTTTAGTTTAGGAAATAAAGTAAACTAATAAAGAAACTTTATCCTTCATAGCATGGACTCGCCTCCATTTGTCGATGCTGAGGAGATTCTAGGTGGTTTGAACGAGGCGGTTCGCCCTCGGAAGAGGGTGACTCGTCCTTGCAAGGAGGTTCGA